TATCTCCACCCCTACCCCTAGAATTCCAAGCCCACCAGGATCATGAGCAAACACATCCAATGTATTCAGGTCCAGCAGGGAATTGAACTGCTACCTTCCATATGGATCACACTTGCTGGGCAGTGCTGGGCCACCTAGCCAGTCTGCTCCAGTGTCCTAACCTTTCCTCTCCTGACAGCGTCTGCTTCCTTCCACTCCACCCCTTCATGGAGGTTAAAGTCTGCCAGAGATCTCTCTCTAGGGTCAAAGGCCTTTTTTCTCTATTTTTATTTTCCCATTGGAATGCCTGCTCTGTAATGATCTCCGTACTGTTCATCAGACCTTTCCTTTCCAGTTTCTACTCAGCGCTTCTCTCTCTTTTTTTAATTTTTTTATTTTTGAGAGGTTTTCGCTATAGGGCGCATGCGCTCACCAGACAGACAGAGAGAGACATAGAGACAGAAAGCGAGAAATCACCCCCCAGGGGGGATGGTCACGCCGCAATCCCTTCTCCTCCATTCTCCTCTCGGGATCTTGGGCACGCACGCACACGTGCCCAGCGTGAGTTTTAAGCCACCGGGTCCGGGACACAAACCGCGGTTGACTATGTGGGAGTCCAGCGACATAGCCATTACGCTAACTGCTGGTTCCCAGCGCTTCTCTCTTTCATAGAACTCTGTCTGCGTGGTTGGGATATGCCCATATCTTTGAGCCCACATTATTCATGTGTATCTCATTCCCTTAACTTTGCCTCTTTCCTTTTTTAAAATTTTTAAAAAATTATTTTATATCATTTTATTCATTTATATATTTATATTTTAATTTTGACCAGAGAGGGACAGAGTGTGTGTGTGTGTGTAAGAGAGACAGAGAAGGAAATTGAGAAAGTAAGCCACCAGGTTCAGAACTTGAACCGCGGTCGGCCACGTGGGAGTTCAGCACTGTTAAACACCACGCCACCTGCCGATCCCAACTTTTCCCCTTTCTAAGTAGTTTAATTCTTCTTTGAATGAAGGTGAACTGAAAGTTGGAAAGGTAGAAATGTAATAGACAGCACTGAAAGCCCCCTACTTAGAGTTTCAGAATGAACTCTTGAGGTCAGGTCAAAGACACAGGCCATACTAAGCTAGTGACAGAGATCTGTAGAGTGGGTCCATGGGTCAACAGCCTCAGTGTCCCCTGGGAGCTTGTTAGAAATGCAGAACTGGGGGCCAGCGGATGGCATGGTGGTTGTGGCACTGGATTCCCACATGACCAACTGGAGTTCAAGTCCCGGATCTGGTCTTGTCTTCCTTTCTCACTTTCTCTCTCTGACGACTATAGTAAGTTTAATAATAATAATAATATATAAATAATTCTTTTTAATAAAAAACCTTAATTAAGGGGAAAAAAAAGAAAAGAAAAGAAATACAGATTTGGAAGCTCCGGCTCAGACCTAGACTTCAAATCAGAATCGAGGCTTTCTCATAATTCAGTATGATGTCCGTGGTTCACTAACATAGGAGAAGCACTGTCTAGTAGAACAGTAAGGGCCTGCCACAGAGTGCTTCCATCTAAAGGGCTCCAAGAACCTCTGAGAACCTTGAACCAGGGACTTTTACTCCCAGTCAGGCAAAGGTTGGGTTTTTTATTTTTATTTTTTATTATTATCATAATCTTCTTTATATTACATTGGATTACATATAACTTTACAGTGTTGATTTGATTCATTTCCTGGTTAGGTACGGCCTCCCTCCCTCATAAGTCGATACCCATGTGTTCCTCTGAAGCGGCAAACAGTATGAAGAAGAGGCCAGCCTGTTCCTGAAGGTGGCCGGGGTGGCTGGATCTCACATGACTGGCTGTTCAGTTTGGGTCCCAACCCGGTGGCTTGAAGAATACACCAGGCGTGCACTCATGTGCCCAAAATCCCAAGAGGAGAATGGAATAGATTGCGGAATGGCCATCCTCCTGGGGGTGCTTTCTCTTTCTCCCACTCTCTCTTTCTAACTCTCTCCAGTGAGCACATTTGCCCTATGGGGGGGGGGGGGGGGAAGAAAATCTATTTTTCTTTTTTTTTTTTGTTTGTTTATTTGAAGAAAATCTTTCTCAAAAGACTAGCACTGTTTTTCAACTCAGCATACAGGCAAGCTTACAGAATCTTTGGTAAAGTGAATGTATCTTACTCGAGTTAGGAAACTTCATCTCTATAAGCTTTCCCAGCAAAAACTCTGTATGAACAACATCGAACCCAAAGATAAGAAGTATTTGTTTTTCATTCCCTCACTCAGCATTTACTAAGCACCTACTACGTGCCAAACACTACCCTAGGTGCTGGGAATACATGAGGGAACAAAACGAACCCCCTGCCTTGGTGGAGTTCACATTCTAGGGGACAGAGGAGCAAACAAGTACATCATTTGGGATGTAGTGATAGTGCTTTAAAGAAAAATTGAGTAGAGGACATGCTACTTAAGGTGGGTGGTTAAGAAAGGCCTCTCCAAGGTGTGGACATCCGGGAATACACCTGAGTGAAAGGAAGAAGCCAACCACCTGGGTATTTGGGGAAAGAGAATTGCAAGCAGAGGACACAGTTCATGTAAAGGCCTTGAGGCGAGAACATGCTCGGAGTGTTCGAGAAATGGCATAAAGACCAGTGAGTGTGGCCGGAGATAAGGAGATAAGGCTGGAGGGGCAAGGGAGAAATAAATCACATAGGGTCTTTAAGGAGCTAGGATTGTGAGCCAAGTGTGTTGGGAGCCATGGCAAGGTATCAAGCAGAGGAATGATTTGAAATGATGCATATTTGTAAAGGTTCTCTGGCTGCTGTGTGGGAAATAGACTGCAAAGGGGGAAGAATGCAAGCAGGAGGCCTACTAGGAGGCTGCTATGAGGGTGCATGGGGTTTAGAAGAGGGTGTTCATGGTGGCGGTGGTAAGAAAGGGTCCAACAATCTTGACTTGCCCACCAAATACTACTTCGAAAATGATCACCAGGTGACAGGAGTGCATTGTGGTACATGTCTGTTTTCTTAGGTGGGAAATGGGCTTAGACATAGGAAACAAAGAGTAGGAGTAAGAGGGCTTCTTTGGGTTGAGCAACGTATACAGCATCCCCTGGGAATCAGTGTTATTTAACATTTCACAAATGATTAAGAAAAAGGAATACTTTGAGATACTTCTAGGTACACAAATTAGGCTTCACTTTCCACACCGTAAAATGTCAAGTCAACAGGGAGCAACTTCTGGAACATTTCGAAAGCTGTAAGCCGCAAGGTGGCAGGTGCCTTGCACCTGGACAAGTATAAGACAGCTCGCATAGGGGAAGGTAATTCAGATGATAGCTTTAAGGCAATGCCTGCCAGTGGCCACCAAAGAAAGGGGTGTAGAAGTCACTGTAGATTATTCCTTGATGACATCATCTCTTCTGAAGTCCAAAAGCCCAGCAAAACTTCTGGCTATCCAGTACAAAGATAAACCATCAACCTCAACGAAACCTCAGGACTTCCCTCTCAGGGCTCAGGGCGTGGTGCTGGTCACTGCATCTTGAGAAAAAGAAGGACCAGGGCCAGCAGTTGGCATGATGGTTAAGGTGCTAGATCCCACAGAGCTGACTCTGTGGTTTGAATCCCAGACCTGGCAGCTCAAAAATGCACTGGGTGCATGTATGTGTGTGCCCAAAATCCTAAGAGGAGAATGGAGAGAAGGGATTGCTGCATGCCCATCCCCCCTGGGAGGTAATTTCTCACTTTCCTTTCCCTCCTTTCTTGGGTGAGCACATGCACTCTATAGGAAAAACGTTAAAAAGAAAAAAAGAAAGAAAAGAAAAAGAACAGAGAAAGACAGGTAAAACGGTTAAAAGAACAGAGAGGCTTTTATTCTACAAGTTAAATGCCCAAAAAGAAGGTAAGACTAAAGTCAATAGAAGTATGAAAGATTTAGAAAGAGCAAAAATAGCCCTTTTCATAAAATCCCGTAACTCTGGAATTAGGGAGTAGTGTCTGTATAAAAAGAAACCATTGGGGGACATATAAAAGAAGGTCTCTCTCTTTTTTTTTTTTGGAGAGGTTTTTCACTATAGGGCACGTGCGTTCGCCAGCCAGCCAGAGAGAGACAGAGAGATAGAAAGTGAGAAATCACCCCCCAGGGGGGATGGTCACACCGCAATCCCTTAAAGAAGGTCTCTTTTTAGACTGAGGACCCTTTAGTATTCTCCAAGGTGTGTAAGGACATGTGATAGCAGTAAATAGGTTGGGGACTGGGGCTTGAGGACAAACAGCCCACCTCCAGTGTCCTTTGGTTGGAAAAAAACAATTATTCTGGACTGGCTCAAACTTTCTCCTTTCCCCAGAGTCATCATGGAATACAACCACAGAAACTCAAAAAGCAAAACCACCCTAGCAAAATAGTCAATTAAGTAAAAATATTAAATTTCATTCTCCGTCAAAATTAGATTAAAAATACATTTTTATTTATAAATAAATCATAATAATAAAGAAAGGGAATTAAGACTGTTTGTGTGCAACCTTAGTCTTTGTGATTCAGGCCATGGAGACGTGCTATGGGCTTAAAAGAAAAGGTACCTGGTTATCTGAACTGGATTCATAAAATAGGAACATTGGCTAACCACTGTTGGTCAGCCTCTAGGTTCTCACGGTCAGAAAATAAGTGTTAGGGATTGAAACGGATTAGATCATCTGAACTTCACCCACAGCACAAATCCTTCAATCGTGTTCAGTTAACAGGGCGGAGGGAGGTCTCTGACCCAACTGTCACTCCCGGGTCGAACAGTTTAGGAGCCCTGGGCTATGGGGTCGTCCTTCTCAGAATGGAAGAGGAATGAATGTACGAATGAATGAAAGAATATATATTCAGAATGAGGATGGGGAGGAAATGGCAACCAATACAAGGACCTTACTTTTGGGTCAAAGATGTAGGTATATAAAGACATAGTATGCTCTCTGCTTCCAAAACAGACTCGGGAGCCTCACTCCGTGTCAAGCAGACCGCGCGTTTTCCTCCCGAGCAGAGGTCTCACTTTACCTGCTCTCTCCCTCCCGGGTGTAGCAACTTTCAGCCCCGCCTCCCTACTCGTCCAAGCTCCGCCTTCCGGGTCCACCTGCGCGCCCAGCCCCGGACGTTACCGTTCGGCTTCAGCGGCCTGCAGGATTCCGGCTTCCGATTGGTCCACCCGGCTACAGCCTGCGCAGCCCACCAATGGCAGTGGCGTTGGGTGGGGGGTTGCCCACATCCAAGATGGCGCCCCCAAGAGCTGGGAGCGGGTGACCGGCGGCGGGGAAGCGGCCTGGGTTGGCCCTCGGATTGCGGGGTCCTGGGGGCGTCTCGCCGGGCACCCCCTGGCCCACCCACACGGCCTTCCCGGGGCCAGAGCAATGGCCGCCGAGAACAGCAAGCAGTTTTGGAAGAGGAGCGCCAAGCTGCCGGGGAGGTGAGCCCAGGACGCTGAGAGCAAGGATTGGACCAAACCCTTCCAGATCTTAATCCCTAAATCCCGCGGGCCTGGGGCGCCACCGAGGCCAGAAGACTGGTTTGGGGCACCCAGGCTAGAGAAGCTGGGCTGCCTGGTGTCAGCAGGGCAGCTGTCAGGCAGAGGAGCGGGCAGCGAGCTTTGGGGACAGCTGGGTGTGGGTGCAGACTCGGGGCGGAGGTCGCAGGAGGGGGAACCTCAGCAAGGAGGTGGCTGAAGACCGAGCGAGGATAGCGGAGTTGGATGAGTTGCCAGCGTGGGTCCTAGGCTCAAAGGGCCATACTCATAGCCGTTTCCCACTCTAAGGAGAACTCCCTGTCGAGGAGAGTGGGGGTCTCCACCACACACAGGTGGTTGCTTGTATGAGAATGTCCCCTTCCCTTGCACCCCAAGCTGGGGAGACTCCTTCTCCAGGACTCCAAAGGGTTCTGGTGGGAGTTTGGGGGTGGGACAGGAAAAGTGAGGACAATTCTCAAACCCGACCTTACTTTATCTTGAGAGGGCCTTTTCTTATTAGGAATTATGACAAGGTGACCACAGAATTGGGGTTAATTCCTTTGGCATTTTTAAGGATTTGGCCAACCCCAGGTGACCTCTTCCTCCCCTGCCGTGTAATGCTCTTCTTGTTCAAATGTGTTCAGTTCTTTGATTCTTCGGTTGTTTAGTTGGAGACCTTTTAAGCTACTTTATTTTTTATTTGTTTGTTCTTTTCGTTTTGATGTATGTTGAGACAATTAGCAATTGTGGTCCACCAATCTACTGTTGGTTGAGCTTTAATTTGTTTTGGACAGAGTCCTGAGAGGTGGAAGGGGGAGTGTGTGGTTTCAGAGTGAATTTAAGACTTCTGCCAGCCTCAGTCCACTGGGTGATGAAATTTACGTTTAGTTGCGCTGTGCATGCTACCTTTACAAATGGATTCAGGTCTTTTTGTGAAATAATCCTTGGAATTTGAGACTTTTTTTTTTAAGAAGCAAGAAATGAGAGTCAATAGTTGTATATAACAGCCTTATTTTGCTTAGGATCCTATCAGACATGGAGAGTAGGTGGGAATCATCTTTTAGTGTACGTATTAAAATGCTACAGAGGAGTGCAAAGATATCTTCAGATGAAAGTTCTGCAGAATTACAGGGGTTACTACTAGTGCTAGAGATGTTCTGTGTTTTTGATAAGCACCACTTCCTGCCAACTGATTCCTTTTCCTTCCTGATGTAGTGAGCGCTTCAGTTGTACTAAACACTGTTCTTTGGGGTTTTCCATAGTGAGATCATTACATTTTGACATCCTAACATTTTATACAGAATCCGTGGGAAAACGTTTATATCAGGAAGCAGTATTTGAGAGGAGTCTTCAGTTTTAAGTTTCTGGCTTCTTTTTTTCATTTTGAAGACTATTATAAAGGGATAGAAAAGGGAACTTCTGTGTTCAAAAAGACTTGGGTTATGATTTGGGCTTTTTTACCTGTGTGTCTAAGGATAGATAATTAACTCAGTGTCTTTAGGCCTCAGTTTCCTTATCTATGAAGTGAGGGATAAAAATACATTCCTTGAGACCAACAGTTGGTGTAATGGTTACATTGCTGGATTCCCACATAGTGTGCGGGGTTTGAGTCCTGGACCCAGCAACTTAAAACTCATGCCAGGCATGTGTGCGTGCATGCCCAAAACCCAAGAGGAGAATAGAGAAGAGATTGCAATGTGGCCATCCCCCGCGGGGAGTGATTTCTCACTTTCTGTCTCTGTCCCTCTCTGTCTCTCTGGCGAGTTCATGCGCCCTATTGCAAAAATCTCGCTTAAAAACAAAACTTTCCTCAGGGTTACTATGAGGAGTAAATGAAACCCCCATTTGTTAAAACAAACAAACAAACAAAAAAAACCCCTCTGTAAAGAACCTAGGACAGGCTTATTGAGCACGTTCTAGTTGCTCAGTAAGTAGTACTTATTAATCTTACTGTTATTATTAGAGCAAGTAAGCATTTAAATAATGTTTCTCTAATCCTTACCTTAGTACTATTTATTTGTCTTCATTGTTGTGAAGACATTTAAATGTCACGCATCATAAAAGTGTTCAGTATCTTGCTTGTTTAGGAGACTTATTCAGAGTCAGCAGGTGGCATGGAGGTTAAGATGCGGGATCCCAGGGACCAGCAGTTAGCATAATGGCTATTTTGCTGGACTCCCATGTAGTCGACTGCTGTTTGCGTCCCAAACCCAGTGGCTTAAAACTCACGCCAGGTGCGTGATGATCTTGAGAGGAGCATGGAGCAGAAGGGATTGTGGCGTGACCATCCCCCCTGGGGGGTGATTTCTCGCTTTCTGTCTCTCTGTCTCTCTCTGTCTGGCGAGCGCATGCGCCCTATAGCAAAAAAAAAAAAAAAAAAAAAAATGTGGTATCCAACATGTCCAACCAAGTGGTTTGAATCCTGGACCTGGAGGCTTAAAAATCACATTGGAGGGACTGGCAGGTGGCGTGGTGGTTAAGATGCTGGACACTCCCACATGGCTGACCATGGTTCAAATCCTGGACCTGGTGGCTTGCTTTCCTACTTTCCTCTTTCTCTGTGTGTCTCTCTCTGGTCAAATAAAAAAAAAAAAATCACATTGGACATGTGTACCCAAAATCCTGAGAAGAGACTGAAGGAGAGGGATTGTGATGTGGCCATCTCAGAGAGACAGACATCTCTTTGTCTCTCTCTGGTCAAATAAAAAAAAAAAATCACATTGGACATGTGTACCCAAAATCCTGAGAAGAGACTGAAGGAGAGGGATTGTGATGTGGCCATCTCAGAGAGACAGACATCTCTTTGTCTCTCTCTGGCAAGTGCACACGCCCTACAGGAAAACTACACACACAGAAAAAGAGAGAGCATGAGAGAGACAAATGTGTCCAGCTGTGTGGTTTTGTTTATTCACTAATTTATGTCTTGCCGGAGGGTGTGCACACTCACTAGAGAGAAAGGGAGAGGGGAAAAGTAGCCCCTGTCCCTGTGGGGCCTGGGCACACTGCAGTCCCTTTCCGTCTGTCCATCCTGTTGGGACTTTGGCCATGCATTCATATACGCCCACTTTGATTTTTTCCCAAGCCATTGGAACGGGGCTCAAACTTCCTCAGCCACGTGGAACCTGTTGGTGGCTTCCCTGACGGTGAGGCCCTGAGGTTGGCCCCAGCTGTGTCGCTTTTAGTAGGGACCAGCTGTGAGCCCCTGGTTGTGGAAGAAAACAAAGGTTCTTTTAGACAGGAAGAGGCTTTGATTCATGGAAACCGTTAGGGCTTTTTTTTTTTTTTTTTTTTTGAGACAGAAATTTTACACCTGTACATTACAGAACTTTTACATCTGTACTCTTCAGTTCTTAGAGAATAAAAACTTTTTCTTGGGTAGGGAAATGACACAAATTACAGTGTACTAGGTTGATAGCAACCTAGAAGTGAAACTTGTTTACTCATTGCAAATTGAAGGGTTAAAAAAAAAAAAGCAATGGCAGGTTACTTTTGGATTCTTTGACTGTGATCCAGCAACCTTAGTGACAACAAATGGGAATTTTACTAAGTAAATAAACTAAATTCAAAATGAAAGAAACATTCTTTTTTGAAAATAACAGCTTTGGGTCAGCCATGATATGGTGGTTTAGGCGACTGGATCCCAACTGACCAATACAGTGATTTAGGTCCTGGACCTGGAGGCTTGAAAAACATGCCCTATGCATGTGCATGCATTCCCCAAATCTTAAAAGGTGAGAGAAATGCAGAAGGGATTGCCACACGATCATGCTCCACTGGGGGTGCTTTCTCTCTCTCTCTCTGGCAAACACGTGTGCCCGCTGGCAAATTAAAAACATAACAAAACAAGAATAGCTTTATCGAGACATAATTCCCACGTGCTGGGTGCTTGTGCATGCATGCTCCAAATCCTGACAGGCTGGAGGAATGGGGGCAAAGGAATGGTGACGTGGCCATACATCATTGGGGGGTGGGGAGGCTTCTTTCTGCCTCTTTCTCTCTGGTGGGCACATCTGCCCTCTGGCAATTAAAAAAAGGTATACAGTGAGATCTAGTATATTGATCTGTAGTCTAGATGGTTTCGTGCAATGGTCTACTCCTTTCAGATCATTTTCATCACCCCAAAAAGAAACGCCAGACCCATAAGCAGTCCCTCCACATTGCCCTCGCCCTCCAGACCCGGGCAACCCTGAATCTCCTTTCTATGTATTTACCTCTTCTGGACATGTCCTATAACTAGAGTAATACGAGGCCTCTTGTGATCGACTTCTTTTGCCAAGGAAAACGTGTGCAGGCCCATCCATGCCGTGGATGTGTTCGTACTTCATTGCTTTTCATGGCTGAATGAATTTCCATTGTGTGAATGTACCATGTTTTGTTTAGGCGTGTTTGCTGGGGTTTTTCGAGTATATATAGGAGTGGAATTGCCAGGTCCTTTGGTCACTTGATGGAATTAAACGTCTTTTTACATTCTCAGTTATTTCCAAGGACTTTATGTACCTAATACATCACATGGTCATTATATTGATGCCTAGGAAGATAGGAGTATGTACCTTTATGGTTAGGAGTGCAGATGCAGGAACCTAACTGCCTGGGTTCAAATCCTTGTTCTGCTACTTTCTAGCTATGTGACGTTTTGGAAGTTAATTAGCCTCTCTGTCTCCTCATCTGTAAAATGGGGTCAGAGTATCTACCCAGTGAGACCGTTATGAGGAGTGAATGAGAGAATATAGCAATCAGGAGGTACTCGGATCAGCTATGGTGCCGGTGCTAGAGGATTGTAGCTCTGATTTTTGTTTTCTCTCTTGCTTTAGTTTCTAAAATTGAAATTGAAAAACTGATCAGTGGTATGTCTGCAGCCCCAGTGAGTCCTGGGCGAATGGGGGAAAAATACTCGATCACCCGATGTTAATTAAGCAGAGGGTTTATGGAGGCACACAGAAGCCTAACGCTGGGCAGCTGTGGCT